CCTAAACCTGTCTTCATATACACCTCAGAAATCTGACCTGCAAACTTATATATCTACTTATAATTTCGTTTCTTCTCTTACCTTTCTAATAACCAAAGGGATGACGGAGACATGCTCTTCATTGACCTTCATGACCCTGTATGACCCGAGGATTGATGGAAGAAAATTGCAGCTAGTTCACCAAGAAAGAGGTATTTGTGTTGGCAAGCCTGCTCCTCATGTAGAACTAAGGATCTCTGGGGATGGCTCTTCTCATGTGGGGAGGATCTTAACCAGAGGCCCACATGCGATGCTTAGATACTGGCAAGGAAGTCCACCAAATGCATCAGTTTCAGGCGATGAAGTATGGCTTGACACAGGAGACGTTGGCTCAATTGACGACTCTGGTAATGTGTGGCTTATCGGACGAGCAAATGGTCGAATCAAGAGTGGAGGGGAGAACATTTACCCTGAAGAGGTAAGATCATATGTTTTATTGACCTCTGTCCTTGTTTTGTTCAGAAACTAACGAGGGAAAAATGACATAAGTAGTAGGAGAAATGACTGTATGCAACGGTTATGTATTAGTATTTCTTTCACAATACATATGAGGGAGCGCTTATTTGTGGTGAAACCTACGTGTATGTTGTGAAAGGAAGGTTATATATAACCGGCGCATACAATCTAGATTTCGTTTGTTCTAAATTACACCAATTCGGAAAAGGGTATCTTATTCCTTCTTAAAAAATGATATAGGTGGAGAGAATCCTATTACAACATCCAGGGGTAAATGGTGCTGTTGTGGTGGGAATTCCAGATGCTCGCCTCACAGAGATGGTTGTGGCTTGTGTTCAAATAAGAGAAGATTGGCAGTGGATAAGTACAAGTATCAGACACTCAGTCTCAAAACAAATGCTTCAAATGTCCAGTGAGATCCTTTGCCAATTTTGTAAAGAAAATAATTTGACCGGGTATCCTGTTTTCTCTCCTAAAACAAAATGATCCTTGGCATTATAGGGATTTCAAAATTTTCCTCACAAATGTTTTTTACGATTTTTTTTTGCAGGTTTAAGATACCAAAAGTATTCATTTTATGGAAGAAGCCATTTCCACTGACGACAACTGGAAAAATAAGAAGAGACCAAGTCCGGGGAGAGGCTATATCTCAGCGGCAATATATAATTAGCAATCTATGATTTTTTTCAGATAATATTTTTTGGTAGTGTGTACGATTCTTAAATTCATATGCCGTGAAGATTCATCTGTACCCATTTAAAAGTTAGATTTTTGGTTATGGTAATCAATCTGTATTCCCCATTGTTGCCTTAGGCAAAAGCCAAATCGAGAGAGAGAGAGAGAGAGAGAGAGAGAGAGAGAGAGAGAGAGAGCATCATTAACACAGTGAATAATCGTGTAGCCATCAGGTTAGCTAATAGCTTTCCTTTAGAAATTTCACCAACTGATTTGGAGTGTTCAAGAGAAATTGTATGCACTTTGTCGTATGCGGCTTTCATATCAACATAGATGAAATGAACATGTAGATGCTATGTAAAGAAATCTCCTCTGCTGGCACATATACAAAAGAAACAAAACGGACTATAAACCCTGTACGGAACAGGTGAGAAACAAAAAACTTCCACCCAGGGAAGGAGGAGGAACTTGTGATTCACTAAGATGACGATTACCTCAGCTCCAAGGAAAAAAAAAAAGAATTATGTTGGAAACTGTATTTCACAAAAACCGAGCTCACTATGTCGCGCTGCCAATATTTGTTGAAAACCTTTCGGCATCTCTTTCTTCATCAAATTTGCTACTTGAATTCTTTGGTGGTTTTGACGAACGTAATTGCCTGACAACCACTCCAGTAACATACTGCTGTGACACAAAAGATACAATAGTCAGACCATCAAGTATGTTAACAAACAATATCAAATGAATAAAAAAAACAAAAACAAAAACGTATATAGTTAGCAGTTATGCGGCACAAACGAAATCCTTACAATTGAAAACTTACCTAGTCAAAAGGGGAGATCAAACTGTTTTAGTTTCTCCCCTTAATTCTCTTCTTACGAGCTTCAAGACCTCAGTTATCTGCAAAGCACAAGGAAAAGATGAATCAATACGAGGATGGTTTTTCTGTTCATCAAGCATTCCTCCCACTAGGTTATGAGAGTATCTTATTGACGCATCAGACACATACGACAATTAATTCCTTCATAGATTCACAAGCCATACAAACTATAATCTTATAAAATGCAAATTAGGTTTGTAATGTATATTGACTTAGTTTTATTAAGTGTTAATTAGTATTATTTAATGTAATTGGAAATCTAATAAGTGAAACTCAGATATAATTATATAATCGCATAGTCTATTGTGAATTAAGTGTGTAATTTATCATAAGGTGGTTATATGAAGTGTTAGTTACTTTTATTCCATGCAAATTTATATTTTAAAATGTTCTCAAAAGATTTAAAATTCAATGAACTAAAGATGCCTTTTCACCTTAGTGTTAAAGCTGCCATCGGTGGCACTTTAATGTCATAGATTTGTCACTTGTGCATGAAATTTACCAGTGCAATTGATGAATAATTGATTGAGTTTGCCATTTAAAAAAAAAAAAAAAATTCCCACAATTTTCATGTTTTTAAGTAAAGTTTCATTGATTCCATATAATTTTATTTGTTGTTTCCACAGACATCTATAATTTCTTAAATACAGACAACCGACATTTCCACCAATTTCATCCTTGCACACAGGTACCCAAAAAATATAAACGAAATGTGTTTATATGATAAATCACGAATGAACAGAAGAAAGCATCTTACTCCAGGATAATGCTGCAATATTGGTGAATAATGATCAAGGGCAATGTATATTTTTTCAACAAGGCTCAATAGAGTGTCCACCTCATCCCCCAAAAGATCAACCTGAAATCCAATGAAATATAATCCATTATATAAGCTACAAAATTACAAGTTTATTACGGTCTCTGTATAAAAATACATGGTATAGACCATTTCTAATGTTTTTATGACCTAGAGAATAAAAACTTTGAAAGCTATCTGTAATAAAAAAATTTATAACTTATATACTAAAAATACATCTAGTTGAACCTTCAAACACATTAACTCCAAGACTTTTGAAGTAGAAAAGATAATTTTCTATGCAGTAAAACCTCATAATATGTGTACATGTGCATATGAATTACATATTTAGTACATAGTCAAGTGATTTGAAGCACATGCGCACACAGAGAGAGAGAGAGAGAGAGAGAGAGAGAGAGAGAGAGTAAAAGCTTTTTATTGTTATAAATACATAGAATGTGGATGACCATTTTTCTTGCATTGGATAGACAGATGCTATTGAGAAAGAAATATAAATATCTTCTGTAGGAAACCGCATTCTTACTGATCAATGCAATGGGTGAATCTTACTCTACAATTATGAAGGCCAGATTCAGCGTCCCACATAATCACACACGCACACACACACACACACACACACACACACACATATATATATGAAAAATGGCCAAGTAATAGTACATATGAAGATAACACTTTATAGTACAAACTAAAGCTTAATACTGTGAAACGGAAAGGAAATCAGGGCCAGTAATGGAAGATAACTTCCAATTATATTTAAAATACCACTATCATCCAACAAAGCATCTCAAAGTGTTTTCTCCCATAAGTATATGCAAGCAACAATTCACTTACATGAGTTTCATAGCATGAAAGACAATCTGAGGTTAAACATCAAGTTGAAATATGCATAATACCTATCTGATTTACATACCTCGGCTTCAGCCTTTTCAAGATCAGAACATTTCCTTTCAAATCTCTGCTTGTATAGCGACCCTCTTCTTACAAGTACATTAGCTTTTTCTTTAAGTGAATGCGATTGAGAACTCAAACGCTTCAACCTGGAAACAAAGTCACAGGTACATTAGCTTTTGCGTAGCAAATGTCAGTGGAATCCAGAGGTCCTTGATGCTAAATAAATTTAGCACCAACTAGCTGGATCTCTCTAGCTAAAGAATAAATTAAGGAATCATCTAGAAGTAATCACATTAACATTATAAAAGGTGTGCCCTAGGAGTATCATTCCATTCCAGAAACTGAGAACTTACAAGGCTAACTTTACAGGTTAACTAAAAATGTTGTCGAAGTAAGCAAATTGATCTGATACATATCATTTCTGCTCTCATACCCACCTCTTTCTAGGCACTCAAAAAATCAAAATCTTTTACATGCATATGCAGATTTTGAAAGTAGACACGTACAACCTATAAGATTAACAAAGCATTACAGGTCTCGAGAATCATGCAAGAGTGTGGAATCAATTTTATACATAGAATTAGAGCACAAAAGGCATTTAGAGGTAAAGCACTTATAGGTAACAAAAACTCAAGTACCTTGAACATTTGCCTGAAATATCTTGTGTTACTCTACATTCAAAATCAGTAACCACTTTCAGTAATCCGCGGCTATAGACAGCTATTGATTTCAATTGCTCCTTGAGCTCCCTTTCTTTAGTTTCAAACAAAGATACAGCATTGTGCTTCTCTTGGTTGACATCAAGAAGCATCCTTCTCTCCTCATTAACTTTCCCCAACTCTTTCATTGCTAGTTCAAGCTTCTGATCTAACTTGCATATCTCTGCCTTATGTATTTCAATTTGCTCCAATGCCAAAACCAAATTATGACGTGCGGCATTTGACTCTTCAATACCTTCTGAAATCAATTTCTGTTGCTGAAATGTCTCATCCCTTAAATTTTCAAGCTCTTGAGCAGCTAATTCATATCGCTCCTTTTCCTTTTCCAAGGCAGCTGCTGCGTCCTGTGCCAACTGTTCCTTTTCTTCTGCCAGAAAGAGTACTTCTTGCTTTAACTTTTCTTTGTTTGCAACCTCAACTTCTAATTTTTCTCTTTTGTCTAGATTTTCCATCTCAAGCAAAACCCGAAGTTGATTTTCATTGGTATATTTCATGTTCAGGTCATTGAGTTTCTGCTCGGCATCGTTCAAGGTTTCTCTGAATACAACTACATATAGTTCTTGCATGATGATGGACTCCACATTCAAATCTTCAATTTCACATTGGCTAGTAGGTTCACCATTGTGTGCAGCTTCTTTAAATGTACTTTGGTAAATTTCTTGCAGAAGATTATACTCCACTTGTGACTCCTCAGCCATGCATTTAATTTGATCCATTATTCCCCTGAGAATACAAGAAAATGCATCTTCACGAATTAAAGCTTCGATATGCGCATCTTCTATAGTTGCATTAAGATTTGCGGTTGTTTTTAACAACTTTGCCTCAGCCAGAGAGTGCTCTGACATTTTCTCTGCAGCTTCAGAAACTTGTTGTGAAAGGAACTTAACTTCTCTCTTCTTATGTGTGAGCAAATCTCTGAGCTGGTGATTTTCTGAAAGGAGTGATTCCAGTCTGTCTTTCAAACTGCTAAGACTTTCATCATTGATACCAGATGTAGCTATTTGCTCATTTTCGACAAGAAAGTCATCTAATTTAGAAATAACCTCAGATATTCTCCTCTTAAACATGTCAAACTCCTTATTCTTCTTTGATGACAAAGAAGATCCCCTTTCTTTCAATAATTCCCGCATGCGGCTGAATCGGTGTTCAATCATATCTTGCACTTTAGATTCATGATTTCGCTTCAACTTAGTCATCTCATTATTATAATAATTTATCAATTCATCTCTTGACATATGCATAACCCGGGTAGGATCCAAACTTTTTTGCATATTTATTTCTGACTCGTCATCCTTGCCATTTTCATCATGCTTGCCATTTTCTTCCCAAAGATATGATGATGATGATGTTGATGTTGACAATGATGACGGTGATGGAGATGGAGATGATGAGTTAAGATTGTTTAGAAGCTTGCGGTGGGAATGGTCTCCCTTCTTAAAATTACTACTTTCTTCATCAACTTCCAAGGATCCATGAGAAGATAGCTGCCCAATGTCAGAAACAGATAGCAATTTAGAAATGGTGTCTAATTCCTGACGTAAGGTTGATATCTCTTTCATCCTTCCATGCCCGTTCACATTTTTATCACCATAAAATCGGTATAAATTTTTTTCTTCAACACTCCAAATACAATTCGTCATCACAAGTGCTTCAATTTCTGCTTTAAACTCCTGCTCCTGTTGCCACTCACATACTGATGCCTTTGACAAGCGAACCATTTGTTCCACCTGTTGATAGCTAGTTTCTATTGTACTCTTTAGACAATTGAGCGTCCTATCCACATCAATCCATCTGTCTGATACTTTATCTTGCAGTATGTCACTCAAACCCGACAACTGAGAACTAGAACCAATTCTCTTAACTGAGCTACGCCCT